GGGGGGGGGGGGGCAGAGAGACACATACATTATTTTGAGCTTAAAAATGTGGGACAACGTGCGCTATGGAGACACAGAAGGAGCCAGTGAATTGCGGGTTAGAGAGTAGGTTTGGCAAAGACCCTAAAGAAGCAGGTAAAACTGAGCTAGCCGGCAATTAAAAAATACTTTAGCCCGGCTGGTGTGGCTCAGCGGTTGAGCATCGGCCTATGAACCAGGTGGTCAGGGTTCGACTCCCGGTCAGGGCCCAGGCCCGGGTTGTGGGCTCGATCCCCAGCCGGGGGCCGTGCAAGAGGCAGCCGATCAATGACTCTCATCATGGATGTTTCTACCTCTCTCTCCCTCTCCCTTCCTCTCTGAAATCAATAAAAACATATTTTAAATTAAAAAGAATTTTTTTTTAGCTTGCTTTTGACCGATCAACTCAATTGAGCAAGCGTTTACTGTGAGGATACCTTCTCTGGAGTTTACTTCGGGATGCAAAGAGGCATCGTTAGTTTTGCTTTTGAGTTCAAGCTTTAACGGGGATCTAGTCTGCTTAGAGAACATGGGGAACAACCGGCACCCCCGAAGGAGAGAGCACGTGCTTGGAAATACCCAGGGCAGGCGAGTCCCTAGGGGAAGGGCCCGCTTGCACCCTGGATTGATCTCCTTCGTTGGTGCAGCCTTTTTGAGGACAATTTGGCAGCACCCATAACCATTTAAAATAAGAATTCCCTTTTGGCCAGGATTTCTACTTTTAGCAGTTTATCCCATTAGCACAAGCACACCTGTGCAGGAAGATATACATACGAGAACCGTCGGTGCGACCTTTATTTATTAATTTTTTTGGTGATCGTAGGCAACCAATGGATGTGTCTCTCTCACATCGACGTTTCTCTCTCTCTCGCTCTCCCACTCTCTCTAAAAATCAATGGAAAATATATCCTCGGGTAAAGAGTAACAACAACAAAATATGATCTTCCATTCGAAATAACAAACCGACATTCTGAAGCAGCGAACGTTTAGAATCAAAAGAAAATTAAATTCTTGTCCGGCTCAGACACAGGTCCAGTTGTGTCTGTCCAGGCCCGTGGAGGCCTGGAGGGCCCCTGGGAGGCGGCGCCTGGGAGGCAGGAGGCGTCTGTGACGACGCTGGGGGGCGTCCCCGGGAAACGCTCCTACCTGAAGCTCGCGCCGCCCCGATCAGCCTGGCTCGAATCAGCCCCTGTCTCTTTTTGTTTCTTATGACTTTTATCTTCCCCCGGAAGATTTCCAGGTGATGGTCTAGTTTGTCTTTCAGATCATCTGAGGGGGGGAGAAAAAAAATCCAAGGCTCGACAATGTATAAACGATATGCTGCGGACATTAGAACAGTTGAGCGCAGTTTTGCTGGATTCCTAAAAACCATGCTAATAATCCGCAGTGGTTCTCAGGTGAAGGGAAAAATTCGTCTATGTGAGGGAGACTGTCTCAGCACAGAAACCAACCGGAAATATTCCTCTGTTTCTAGTGAAATACCTCTATTTTAAATGTTTTTATTGATTTCCAAGAGAGGAAGAGAGGGGGGAGAGAGAGAGAAACATCAATGATGAGAGTCATTGATCGGCCGCCTCCTGCATGCCCCCCACTGGGGATCGAGCCCGCACCCCGGGCCTGTGCCCCGACCGGGCATCGAACCTCGACCTCCTGGATCCTAGGCCGCTGCTCAGCCGCTGAGCCAGGCCGGCCGGGCATATCACAATCCTTTAAACCCCTGCGCAATTAGTTTTCTTTCATGGAATAATCGGCATTGTGTCTCTCCCCTGCTTTATGCCTGTGAGAGCTCCCCATTTTCTACAGATAAAACCCAGGCGATGCCCTGCACGAGCGGTTGCCTTCTTAGATCTGCTTTTACGTCCGCTCTTCCCCGCGACTCTGTGCTCACACGTAAACTACAGAAACCGCAGAAGTGGCCCAAGCTCCCCATGTTTTCTCTCGCCCCTGGGCCTCTTCGATGCTTATTTCCTCTGGAATCTTCCTCTCCGTCTAGATAACTCCAACCCGCCCTTCAGACCTCGGTGTAAGGATGTCCCTTCTTGCTGAACGTCGCCAGTGATCTCTAAGGGCCAGGTGGCGCCCCCACGTTTCCCCCGTGGAAGCACTAGCCACCCCGTCTGCCCAAAACTGGGAGGACAGGGACCAGCGCCTGCACCCCCATCAGCGCGGCAATGGCACCCAGCTCGGTGCCTGCGTCCACGCCACCCAAAGCTGGTCTCTGTGTAAAACAACTCACACGCGACCAGAGATAGCTCGGCCTCCCAAGGAGGTTGGGCAGGTTATCAGTGTCCCGTCTTACCAAAGTCGCTCATGTCATCTACCAAAATAATTTCTTCGAGGATTTTGTGTGGTGTGAGGCTGATGACACTGGACACAGTCCGAAGCAAGGCATTAAATTCTTCGTTGTGGAAACAAATGACGACGCTGGCAGTGGGCAGTTTGGTTGGGTATTGTTTTTTAAGACACCTGCAGGCACAAATAAGAGGGGGAGAAATGATTCATGTTTTGGGATCTCAGATCCCTGGTTTCAAACTATGTTACAAAGCTACGGTAACCAAAACGGCATGGTACTGGCATAAAAACAGACGTGTAGATCAATGGAACAGAAGAGAGAGGCCAGAAATAAGCCCGTAAATATGTGGTCAATTAATATATATATATATAAAGTTCCATTAAAAAAAATGGAATCAGCCTGGCTGGTTTGGCTCAGTGGTTAGAGTGTTGGGCCGAGGACCGAAGGGTCACAAGTTCGATTCCCGGTCAAGGGCAGCAACCTGGGTGTCAGGTTCAGGTTCAATCCCTGGCTCTGGTCATGGCCTGTGCTAGAGGCAACCAATTGACGTGTCTCTCTCCCCCTCCTCCCTCCGCTCCACTATCTCTAAAAAAATCAATGGGAAAAAAAATATCCTCAGGTGAGGATTAATAAAAAATAAATTAAAAAAATGGAAACATACAAAGAAGGAAATCTTGCCATTTGCAGTGTGGAGGGACCTTGAGGGCATTATGCTCAGTACAATAAGACATGTTGTATCTATGACTTATTTGTCTTTGACAAATCTGTATGATCTCACTGACTTGTGGAATCTAAAAGAACAAAAACAAAAACAGTAGCAATTTCCTTTTTTTTAATTTAATTTAATTTATTATTATTTTTTTTATATCTTTATTGATTTCAGAGAGAGGAAAAGAGAGGGAGAGAGAGAGAAACATCAACGACAAGAGAGTCATTGATCGGCTGCAGCCCGCAACCCGGGCATGTGCCCTGACCGGGAATCGAACCCTGATCACCTGGATCCCAGGTCGACGCTCAACCGCTGAGCCAAGCCCGGCGGGGCAACAGTAGCAATTT